CCCAATGTCACTGAAGGCAGGATTGGGGCGAGTCCCAGCGCACAGCCATGGACGCCAGCGACATCTCTGCTGGAGCTGGTCCAGCCCCACCTACAGAGGATGTGTCCAGTCACAGGCTGTGTCCCCCCTGCATGGACTCCGGTTTAACTAACATGCCCAGGCTCTGAGCCGAGTAACCCCTGAAAGCGCTGGATTATTACACACTGTGCAGAGCACACACAAAACCCCAACAGTACAGAGCAACCCTGGGATTCACAACAGTTGTCACCGGGAAGCAGAAGAAGCCCTGCTGAGAAAGGCACAGGGCAGAAAGGAACCAGGTTCTGCCAGCAGGCACAAGACACTGGTATAACTGGGCTAGAGGAGATTTCCAAAAGGTGGTTCCTAGGAGCTCTATTGATTGCTGCCATCTCTCCTGGCTTGTTTCTGGCCTCTTAGCCTGGATCAAAGGAAGCGAAGCCTCTGGCACAAAAAGGGAATGGGGGAGGCATGTTATTGGTTCACTCGGCTGCCAGAGACATGCAGCTGTCACTGTTTTGCTGAGGCTGGGAACCAGAGTGTAGGGGTGGGAGCAGGGCTGCTAGGTGCCCTGTTCACATTCCTCTGGCTGGTTGGGAGTCTCTTTGCACCTTGCTGCCCACTCTGGGCACAGACTTGGGAGTGTTCTCAGTGGGGCAATGAACAGTTAGATTTAGGGCCAACTCCTGGGGAGCTGAGAGGAAACAAGCTCTGAGTTGGGCCCTTAAAACCCCATCAAGCTAACAGCAGGGAAAGGAGCAGGAAGAAACGGAGACTGGTTTGTTGGTGGGGCTGGGTCCCCTTCTTTAGAACCCCCAGCATCCTCCTTGCATCTCTGGGCTCCCCTTCCCTGAGCAGAGCAGTCATCAGACCCCTATAAGTCATAGGGTTAGAAGAGACCTCAGGAGGTCATTGAATCCAATGCCCAATGCAGGACCAACCCCAACTAAATCACCCCAGCCAGGGCTCTCTCGAGCCAGGACTTAAAAACCTCTAGGGATGGAGATTCTACCACCTCCCTTGGGAACCCATCCCAGTGCTTCCCCACCTCCTAGGGAAATAGAATTGTATATTGGATATTAGGAAAAACTATCAAGCTTCTTCTCCCCAGAGCCAAGATGAAACATGGCCCTAGAGCCAGCAAACGACACAGAGGAGGCCCAAATTTCCCAGCAAAGCTGAGCTGCGATAGGTCCCAGACTTGCAGCCAGTGGGCACAGATTGGCAGCAAGCCCTGATTGCAGTGGCTCACCTGGGCAGAATGAGGAGCTGTCCTCTTCCCTGGTTTGATGCGCCTCAGTTCGAGCAAGGAAACACATCTGCCAGACTAGCTCCCACCAACAGCGCCTGAGAGCTGCTGCACCACTTCTTTCTGGAAAACTCTTATTCCTTCCCATTGCAGCTGTGGGAGTCAAGGGGCCGGACTCCCCCCCACCTTTGCTTTACCTCTTGTGCTGTCAGTGTTCATTAAACCCAAGCAGCCCTTTGAGAGCCAGTGAAGGATTCCCATTGGCATTATCTTGCACAGCTGTAAATAGTAACACTCCCCAGCACTTACATGGAGCTTAGTATCCAGTGAGCTCAAAGCTGTTTTCACAGGAGGCCAGTATGTTTTTCCCCTTTTACTGATGGAGAAACTGAGGCATGAGGCAATGATACCATTAGCTGAATCAGGAATGGAACTGAGGCCCAGTCTGATGATCTAGCCATTAGACCACGCTACCTCAGTGACACTCCTGGGGGTGTGGGGAGTCAGGCTGGCTGGCATCTCACTCTTCTAGTGCAACTCCATTGAGCTACGCTCCTGTCTGTGGGCTTAGCCCCAGGCTGTACCAAGAGCTAATCCAGACCTTGGGACCTGCCTCTTCCCGGGAGTAACCCCACATCATGTTTCCTTTCCTTTTCCAGAGTTATTTAAGTTCAAAGGCTTTGGGAGCCTGAGCAACATCCCTCGAGCCTTCACTCTAAGGCGAGTGTCTGTCGCCCCCAGCACCCCAGACAGCTTGGGGGCAGGGACCCTGCACCCCAACAGCTTCCTGGAGGGGCCCGTGGAGAGCACTCAGGATGACCTGAACACCGTGCCCAAAAGCCCATCCCCCTATGCCAGGTCGTCTGACATGTACAGCCACATGGGGACAATGCCCAGGGCCAGCAAGACAGGGAAGCAGACCAAGAACTCCCAAAGCAACCGAGAGAGAAGAACCTCAGGTGGCAGAGCCCCTGGCATGTCTCCATCAGCCGTCTCAGAGTCAGTGGCTCCTGCTGGCTCTAGCCCGGCAGCAGATGCCTCTTCGGCAGCTGGAAAAGCTGAGACTTTGCCATCGAATAACAGCCCCAGCCTAGGTGGGTCATTAACAGATTCCTTGGAGAACAACCCACCGGAGCAGGCACCTGCGTGCATGGGGAAGGGACACGCTGCCTGCCCAGCCCAGGAGCCTCTCCAAGCTACTGGAACTGGTTGTACCAAAGCGGAGCTGTTACAAGACCCTGGCTGGCTGGAAGGAAAAGAAGGTGTGAAGGAGGAGCTGCCACTTGCCTCCTTGGAGAGCCCACAAGGGAGGTAAGACACAGCTTGGCACAACTGCTCCAATAGCTGTTCTGCTGCTAAATGAGGGCTCAACCCTGCAGGGGCGGAGGGCTTTGGTTCCAACTCAGCAAAGCATTTAAGCAACTGTGTAGCTCTGCATGACACACCTGCATACTGAAGCATGTGGCTGGATCATGACCAGAGCACTCAGCACTTTGCAGTATTGAGCCTCTCCAAGGCTTGGGTCAACTCCCTTTATATTTAGTGATGAGTTTTCTCCAGAAGTGGTAATAATGCTGTCTTTGGCCAGCTAGGGGTGCTAAATACTTTCCACCCCCACATCTCTGGAGACTAGGGGGGTATTATTTTACCCACATGGGAAACCTGAGCCACAAAGAAACTTGATCCCAGTGACACATCTAGCCTTGAACCCAGGAGGCTCATCGCTTAGTCCTTGGTGCTGGCCAGCAGGCAACACTCCCTCACATAAACACCTGGGAAAATGTGGCTGCTTATTAGAATCTTTCGCGTCCACAGCAGGGGATGGGCAGCTTCATGAGAACCAACTTTCCCATGAGATTTCTGATCTTTCCAGCTTCCGCTTTGGTCGGAAATGTCTCAAGACGGAGTCCTGTCGGAGTCTGGCTTCCCTTGTCTTGTTCTCAGTTTAGTTTCAAGTGGCAGCTTTGTTGGAGTGATGATCCACTACTAGGGAAATGCACCAGGAGCTGGGGAAGCTGCACTGGGCGCAATGCGGGAGCAGGGATTTGGAGATCTCCATTGCGTAGCACTATCCTTTTCTCTTTCCTTGCCCTTCCTTCCTCTCTCCTGCATCTTCCTTTTCTGGGAGGAGAGTCGTTTTCCTAACATGCCTAATCTTGGTTCAGCTGCTGGGGTTTCTCAGACTCCAGCTGCCAGTGCCTCCCTGAGGATAGGATAGCACAGCCCCTGGGCTTCACCCCAGTGCCTCCTGGCTCCACCACAACTGTTAGAGCCCATGTCGAATCCATAAAGGAGGCCCCTGCTTGGGAACATGCTAGGAATGCGGGGAGGGGGTGAACCGGGCTGGGTGGACAACTGCTGGGAGTTACAGCTGGCACTGGCTTGCCCCTGCCATGCTTTGGGATGGCTGTGGGGATCTGGTTCCCCAAAGCCATAAGGACCCTTGCCTAGGAAACCTCCCTCACTTTTAACTCAGCTAAAAGAGGTGACCTTATAAAGGGAGCTGCAGTATGCCTTGTCTTCTCCACATACACCCTCCTCACCAGGCTCCTCAATTAGAGTCAGAGGCTACATCTAGACTGGCATGATTTTCCGGAAATGCTTTTAACAGAAAAGTTTTCCGTTAAAAGCATTTTCGGAAAAGAGCTTCTCGATTGGCATGGACGCTTTTCCGCAAAAGCACTTTTTGCGGAAAAGCGTCCGTGGCCAATCTAGACGTGCTTTTGCGCAAAACAAATCTCAGCTGTCTACACTGGCCCTTTTGCGCAAAACTTTTGCGCAAAAGGGACTTTTGCTCGAACGGGAGCAGCATAGTATTTCCGCAAGAAGCACTGATTTCTTACAGTAGGAAGTCAGTGCTTTTGAGGAAATTCAAGCGGCCAGTGTAGACAGCTGGCAAGTTTTTCCGGAAAAGCAGCTGATTTTCCGGAAAACCTGGCCAGTCTAGACACAGCCTATGTGTGAGCCACAACCCTTCACCCTGGGAACTGGGCTCTTGCCTCGCTGGGCTCTGGCTGCTCTGTCTCCCCTCAGCTCCCTGAGGCTCTGCTGTCAGGCACAGCTTCGAGGGCGTGGGGCACACACCCTAGCCCCACTGCCTCAGGAGCTGCCAGCGCCACAGAAGCCACCTCTCAGGGCTGCCATCCAGCGTCGCCGGCAGAGCGAGATGTGGCTGGGGCTGGGCGCGAGAGAGGCCTGTGTAGCGTGACATGAGGGGCAGTTTCCTTGGTTCAGGGGACTCAGACCCTCTGCTTGAATCTACCTCGGAAGCCGTCTCCATGGACCTGGGTTTGCTTGTTCTGACAGTGGTGAGCTCCGGCCCAGTGGGAGGGGTCTGTGTGGCTGCGGTATGGAGGCGCAGCTGAGGTGCCAGGCCAGGCCAGCAGTGGGGCACTATTTACACCAGCTTGGCCCATGGCTTCGCTGGGAGGGGATTTCTCCCCCTGCCGCTCAGTGCTTGCGCCAGGCCTGATTCCGGTGCCTGGGTTTTACACCAGTGTGCAGCCGGTGGAGTCGCTCCTGATTCCCAGGGAGCTTAGCTCAGGCCCCTGCCGGTCCCCCTCCCCCCGTGCCGGCCTGGTTCCCAGGGCTCCGGGGTTTGTTTGCTCAGGCGGTTCTCGTTAGGGAGGGCGCTGCGGTGCCCGGAGCATGGGACTGGAGAGGAATTTCTCCCAGCTGCAGGAGCCGGGCCAGGGGAGGGCGGGAGGCAGGGCCAGAGGCAGCTGGGCGGGCCCGGGCCGGCTCAGCCCTCCACAAGTTCAGCGCTCAAACTTCCTCTGGGCGGATGAGAGCGGCGGCTGGGAGCGCAGGCAGCCGGCACCGATGACCGAGGTGGGCAGGACGCAGCACAGCCCGGGCCCCGGCAGGTGAGCGTGACCCGTGGGCTGCGCTCCGGGCTGGCGCGGGAGGGGGCCGCAAATCGCGGCGCAAAGCTCCCCCCCCCCCGGCTCTGTCCCTAGAGGCGCCTCGGGCGCTGCCTGGCGGAGGGGGCCCGCTCCTGTGCCCGTGGGCGGGAGGTTCGCGCGTGGGAAGCGCGCACACGCTGGGAGCGCAAAGCGGGCAGGGGCAGCGCCTGGGGGCCGCGCTGCGGGGCACTCGCGTGGGAGTTTGGACACCCTGGCTCCAGTCCGGCTCCTGGGCGGGTCCAGGCTCGGCAAAGCCCCTGCGGAGCTGGGGGGGACCCCTGCAGACCCCACCTCACTCCCTACCGCTCCCGTCCCAGCCCCAGGGCGGCCAGCCAGGAGGAGAACTTGAGCCCTTTCGGGCTGCAGCCCCCTCCCTTCGCTTGCCGCTTGGCTGCAGCCCTGACCAGGCCAGCCGAGGAGGCAGGACGGGCTGCACAGCTGGGAGCAGAGCAGGGTCGGGGCTCCTGGCCCAGAGGTCGGGGCTAGGAGCGGCTCCTAGCGCGGGGAAAGGAGAGTTCCGGTCCTAGCCCCTGTGCAGGGCAGGACATGGCCAGGAAGGGGCCCTGCTGTCTCCCTTGGACATTAAAGGCAAACTCCCTTTCACTTAAACAGGAGCAACATCTGCACCAAGCCAGTTAATGCTGGCAACCCCTGCAGGTATGACTGGTTCCGGTTTCCTGGGGAAACTGAGGCACTGAGCAGTTTCTGTGACTCAGGCCAGGCCTGCTGCCATCTTACCTAGTCAGCTGGGCAGAGTCAGGAATTGTCACTCAGTGGCTCATGGTACTAGACTCCAATGCCAGGGCAGGGAGAAGGTTGAGACAGCAGGCAGTGGGGTTGCTGTCAGTATGTGCCCCTGGTTGGGAAGATAGGAGAGGAGAATGTTGGGCAGACGGGAGCATCTCCCTCTCCCCCATGCTGACCATGTGCAGGGCGGGTCAGTACCTGTCATGGAAACATCAGACACTTTGGTACCTCCAGTGAGCACACAAATCCTGGTGTGACCCATAAGAACTCCGGCACTGTGCTGCAGCTGGGCTCTGGCTGCAGATGGAGAGGAAGATGTTCCACAGACAACTCCTGCTGGAGCTCCCCCACTCTCATCCTCATAGACCAGCCTGTCTTCCTGGAATATCTCACTTCTCCAGTGATGGGGAGAGGAGGCCAGGGATACATGGCTGTGACAGGCTGGCTGAGGCTTACTAATAGTCTGTGAATCACATGGCGGGGGGGCAGCTGTAGGGTAATTGTCCTGCTGTCACGCCCCCCTCCTTGTGCTTTAGAATTGTGCTGGACAGTCTGTAATTTAATGCACTGATCTGAGCTCACTGCAGCATTTCGGCTCCAGGATATGAGCTATGGTGGGCAGTGCAGGAAGACACAGTACCCGCTGCCTTCATGCACTTCTGCCACATTCTCTGTTAGGGCCCTCGAGATCTCAGCGAGCTTTAGCACTGGATACTAATCTTGACCTACAGCACCTCCTGCTGTTCCACTCGGGAGCCGCTTGCTGCTGTCCATCCCTGCCCTGCAGTAGCCCCTGCTGCTCTGATCCTGGTCCCTTCGTAAGCACAAGCAGGGTCAGATGGTGGCATAGGTCTGCGGTGAGCACAAACATCCATCCAGGTTTAGGCTGTGACTATCATTCTTGTATCACCCGTAATCAGATCAGGAGGAAGGTTGGTGCTTTAAGGAGATGTGCCAAGTGGAATGAAGACTCCAGACAGGTCCTACAGTATGTCCATAGCTGGGTATAGTGATGTTCTCCTTTAGCCTATATGCCCAAAGGGCCTGCTTCCCTAGGTCACCCTCAAGCACTCCTGTGACAGCTCCATCTCTGCTCCCAGTACACTGAGGCTATAGTCAAGGACTTACTAGTTGTGCTGGGTTCTGGAGCCCACCACTAGCAGAGCGCACAGAAAAGCTGCTGACCGGGAAGGTTCTCAATCCCATGTGGATCATCTCCACGCCTCACTCCTGCACCTGGGCCAAGACTCCATCTGGGGAATAATCCACGTAAAGAAATCTGGACTAGCATTTCCCCTTTGTGTATTATCCTGCCAAGGAATTGACCTTCCAAGCTAAGCTTGTATAAACATATACACATCTCTTCCGCCGGATAATCCTCAGGGGCATGTCCTGTAACAGTAGCCTCCAGAGTCAGTCAAGCCTGTCATCTGTCAGGGGCTTTTAATCTTTGTAAGTCTGACCATTGTTGGAAGAGTTCAGCCTCTCCCCAGCCCACCTGTGTGCCCAGCTTTAGGACAGGTTGGAAGCAAGTGCATTCACCATAACACAGCAAATGCAGCTTCCTGAACTGGAGGAGAGACTGCAGGGAATCCACATTCCCCCTGGAGCAAGTGGTGCTGAAAGAGGAATCAGAGAGTGAAATCCTCGCTGCTGTTGCATGTGGCTGCTACAGTCCATTCCTATGGGAGCAGGAAGGGGGTTGCAAAGTGCTAGACAAAGCCTTTCTGAAATGCCAAGAAGACTGATGCAGGCATGAATATCACTGGGGAGTTCATGTTTTCTTTACAAGAAATCAGCTGCCAGGTGAAGCCATTGACTTGTGTGTTACAGACACATGTAACACCCTGAATGTGAACTGTGACCAGATGGACTAATCAGAGACTGAATTATTCATGATGTAATTGATGAGCAACAGAGAAGGAGATCCCTGGAAGAAATAACTTTACTTTTCTGAGCACAGTGGATATGCATGGGGCTCATGGAAAACCGTGCTTCCCAAAGGAAAGTGTTAGTACACAGTTAGCTAGCCCCCTGCAGAATCTGCATTGAAAACCCCCTGGTACAAATACATAACATTTTCATCAATGGATCAAGTGCAGTATAAGGAGACAGTGATTGTTATTCCCAATGTATAGACCAGAAAACCTAGGCACTCATTAGTAAAGTGACTTGACCATGGTCACCCTGCAGGCCAGTAGCAGAGACTCCGGAGTTCCCGTCCAATGCTCTGTCTACTGGAGCATGTCACAGCGTGGAAGAGGAACACACACTATTAAGAATACTTTTGGGATGTGAAATGCAGGTAGGGCAAGGAGTGTCTTGTACCTGGATCACTGTCATGTGGGGAAAAGCAAAGAGCTGCAGCAGGAGCAGTTGGAAGTAAACATGCCTCATTTTTTAAACCAACGGCGACACGCTGAGGGGCTGAACCCAACAGGCCCCAGCCTTCCACTGGCTGGTGTCTCTGCAAGCATTGGGGCAGTGCCACTGAGCCTCCCTCCTTCCCTCCCAAGCATTCCAGGCCAGGCAGAAGGAGCTGCTGGGCAGCAGGGACTCATTCCAAAGGGAGCTCTGGAATTTCTCCCAGGCGCTTTGATGGGCTTCAAGAATGTTTGAGTCTCATTCAAGAATCCTCCGGCCATTCAGTCGCTCCGCTCTCTGCATGTTGCAGCCGGTAGTGGGTCTCTGAGGGCCAAGGCGCAGGCACTACATCTGCTTACAGTTAGGAGCGGGGTTATTTATAGTGATTTCATTCTTCCCAAGCGCTGAGTGGAAGTCGGGTCTCTCTGGCACCGGATGCTGGGATGCGGGTGTTGCAGTTCATTAGCCTGATGGCTTTGCAGAGCACTGGAGGAGCTTGCAAGACCCTTCTAAATTCCGCTTCCCAGCTGCTCTCATGCTCCCAATTTCCTGCCCGGAGTCTCCCTTCCCCCATCCTCTGTTTTTTCTCACAGATTCCCAAGCCCCAGCCTGTCTTTCTCTGACCCGGCACCTCTCGAGGCCAACTTGCAGCTGATTCAGGGAGGAGGCAGATTTTTAGAATCCCTCCCCAACCCATCTTTGCCAGGACATCCTGTAATCACCTGGAAAATGCCAGCTGGGCTGGCAGTGAGAAGGGAAATATCCTCTTCTCCTTGCTCTGGCTGCAGGAGTGTTTTCCATGGCATGCTCCAGCTTCCAAGCCTGTAAACTGCAGCTTGGTGTAGGTCACTGTGGCAAGCAGGGTGGATGGCGCGGATCCCCTGCAGCCTGTTAAGATGCTGCTGGGTCAGGAGGGAAACCCATGCTGAATCGCCAGCATGGGCTTTGAAACAGGGAGATCCCGTGTGTCCCAGGGGTCAATGCAGCGTTGGGTTCTACTGAGCATCAACTCGTGTTTTGTACAGGTGTCCCAGGGGTCAATGCAGCATTGGGTTCTACTGAGCATCAACTCGTGTTTTGTACAGTCTGGCTCTGGATTCCATGCACACCCCAGAGAGATGGCACCCACCAACCCAGTAGATCTCCCTCTCGGGAAGCTTTGCTACTGATATTCAGCCTCACCTGTAGCATGAATGAAATTTGTAGTAGTCTGGAGCCAGGAGATAAGTGTAAGCATGAGATGGGCACTGCTCAATGGGGCTCTTAATGTGACTCCATGCCGGGCCCTGGCACGCACAGCACAGATACCATGCCTGGCTGCAGAGATTCCTGGCTGACATCCACTGTCTCCTAACAGCTGCAGTACAGGATAGCAGGTACCTGACTCTAGGTATGCACTACAACTGCTGCAAGGCAGCGTGGTCGAGCAGAATGAGCGCAGGACTGAGAGCCAGGGACTCTGGTGGGCTAATATAGACTCACTGTGGCTTTGGGCAAGTCATTTCATGTCTACGACTCATTCCCTCAGCCGTAAAAGTAGGTAGGAGTCCTCACCCGCCTCCCAGGGACATCGGAGGCTCAGGAGTTTGCAGTGACGTTGGAACAGCATGGAGGAGACCAGCTGGGATGTTTCCCCCATTCTAAGATCAAACCTTTGCTTTTAGCCTGAAGGGCTTAGAGAAAATAACATAGGAAAGAACAAAAGTAAAAGTGGCTCATCCAGGCTGCATCATTTCTACCTCCTAACATAGCCACTGCAGAGGGGCAAAAGGAAGAGTGCAGCATAAACAGAAAGTCCTAACAAGTCGCTGCCGTTGCTCCACACACCACGGATGCTTCTATGGTTTGTG